ATTTATAAGGTTTATTGTGAAAGGTGGGTAGATGTAGAACTTGTGATTCCATCTATCTGCCTTGGGCCTCCACTCGCAGCAACCTCCTCGTGGTGAGGCCTGGGAAATCGGTATTATCTTCGGTAAAGTACTGTAAACTGAAGACAATATCGAGCTAATGGCTGCGAACTTCGAATCTATTTCTTAAAACCACGTTCTATATTACATCGATCTAGGATTATTTTAGAAATCGATATGAGATTCGAAGTGTAAAAATGTCTAATGCTTTGAATGTTTTAGAAAATTATTCGAGATAAAGATGTATGGAACTACTGAACAGGTTACTACAGAAACTAACTACTGCCTACGTCTTTTAAACTTGGGCTGTAGTAGTATCTGCAGAAACTGTCATTGTTGTTGGGGTTACTATATAATTTGCTCACGGAAGCACGCACAAGTGTCAGTCAGATTTCGCAGTTGCACGAGCAACATTAGACCGAGCTCGAGACTCGTACGAGCACAGCGATAAAGGATCACGTTTCAAAACTCTTGCGCATGCTTCGAGGGTTATATGACCCCGCGCTCTCGCCAAACGGGTCTGTGGCGCCATCTCCGGGGGTTCTATGAACCACGTTCTCACCAAACGGGGTCTCTGGCGCCATCTCTAGGCGCGAACCGACGTTCTGACCCCACGGGGTCTCTGACGCCATCCCGGGGGTTCTATGACCCCACGATCTTACCACACGGGTCTCTGGCGCCTCCACCGGGGGTTCTATGATTCCATGAGACCACTACACGGGTCCGTGGCGCCTCCACCAGGGGTTCTATGACCCCACGATCTCACCGCACGGGTCCCTGGCGCCTCCTCCGGGGGTTTTATGACCCCACGTTCGCACCACACAGGGTCTCTGGCACCGAAGAATAGTTGGCGCCGAATATTAGTGTTTCTTAACAATTTGTATCTTAAAAAATTGCTTCCGATTTGCTCCCTCGGAATCTAAAATTCCTCCCATCGCAACGTTTACATTTAATAAGGTATTCGCAACTGAAAAAGCAAAAATGTATTGTTTGCAAAGTAGATAGTAAATAATCTTTTTACACAAATGTCTTCTTTCACAAATGTAATCTTTATTCCCTTGTCTTAACAAAGATATGTTTACCATAATACATATTACTTGATATCACTATCCAAGTGAACGTAAATATGTTTATTTAAAGCATGAAATTTACACAATGAAACGTCACGCTTCTAACACATATCCTGAATTAGAGAAATAAGCTGAATCTTGCTTTTAATTTTGCAAAATAGAAAAATTCGTCGACAAGACGTCGTTAACTGTACCGACGCGACTGTTGCACGAACACCCGAGACAATTAACTAAAATGAGTCACGTTTTTTGAATACTAAAAGGGAAAACACCTTTACTTAGTCCCCACCCTCCGATCGCTTCAACCGGTGCCATATGTTCCGTAAAAGTAGGACGCATGCCTCGTTACCACGACGACGAATTCACATAACCGTACACAAAACAGCCGGTACACCCGGAAATAAACGCGTGACTTAAGATCTTCCATTACAAAAAACAACCGAAGTGTTCCCCTGTCTCCATTTTTCCGTTCTGTATTCTTTTTATCATAAGGCTGTCATGTCAGTCAACGGTGAATTTTTTCTATCGATCACCGGTTCCATCGAGCACGCGGAGTTTTACGACGCGAATAACGTCTATTGCAAGTACGGGTTTCACTTTGGCCCCGAATGGACCGTAGTCGCCGTGAGTTGTTTTTTTTTTTTTTTACTTTACAAGCCCGTGCTGTTACGTCGCGTCGCGACGACCGGCGCGGTATACCTATCGCTTTTCCAACGTGAAATTTTAGCCTCACGTCGGCCGTTATCGGCTGATAAAATTCCGTTAGGGTATCGAGGAGGGTCTGACGCAGATGTGTAAGTGCAGCAGCGACCCGCGAAACCTGGCTGTTTGGAACTTTCCGATCGAGATCACGTTTAAAAGTACCAATCCCCATGGATGTAAGTGGAACAATCGCGTTTAACATTCCCGTGAGATTGAATCGACATGTTCGTGAACTGTTTCAACAATTGCTGGACTAACAAGGAGGGAGCCCCAACTTCGGGTCGCCGAGTTTAACCTCCAGACACCATACTAGTGCGAATTTCAGTGAAACACTGCTTCGTCTGTTCGTTTTGAAATTTACCATTTCTTTTTTAACAAATTTTTATAGTTACAAAATTATTTCTCACTTTTACGATTATCACCATTGAATTTCTGAAGATATTGTGCCCTAAAAAATGTGTTATGATTTCTATTTACTTTTATTTTCTTCAAGTTCTTATTCACCAAAAATTCAAAATCCCAATTCGCACTAGTGTGGTATTTGTGTGTGATGGGTATGGTGTTTGAGGGTTAATGAAACTGTTAGGATATGCAGTAGGTTTTTTCCCCTTTATAAATTATCCCCTGCATAGGGTGAGATATTTAAAAGTGTTTGAGTTGCTTTTGAAGTTTTCCGCGTGACTTAAGTGAAAGTTGTGCAATGGTAAATTGTTTCTATCGTGACGGTCAGTACTCAAATACGTTCCAAATACATCCACAAATCTTTGGAAGGGACGTATTTCAACCCTAACCGTCACGTTAGAAACCATGGACGTTGCTCTGTGGAAAACTTCAAAAGCAACTAACTCAACAACTTTTGTGTATCTGCCACTATATAGAAGGTGATTTCTAATGAGGAAGAAATCTACTATATGACATAAATGTTTCATTAGAAGCGGCCAGTCGAAATTGGGGTCGATTACAAGTTGAAATGATTAAGGACCAGAAGAAATAAATAGGAGGTGTTTTTATACGACTTTTTAAAATGCTCAGTCTATCTTCGCAATTTTCGTATTTGTATATAATTTCTTTGTGATTTTTTTTATTGTGGTTACAATGACTGAAAAATTTACTATTCTAGGGCCACAATTAATAATATCAGTCTACGGCTTGGACATCTTCGGACACGACGTCATTACAGGATACGGAGTGTGCCATTTACCATTAAAGACTGGTTACCACGAGAAAAGGTATCAAGTTTTAATTACGCTAAATTATTTTTAATTCTACGAAATGCATCGATTAATCGAATTTATAATAAAAGTTTCGCCACCGGTGATAATAGTCTTGAGTTTACGGATCGCATCGAGTTCGATCATTCGACTAACATGGACTAATTAAGAACGTAATGGGGCGGGAATTTTGTAGGGTGTCGGTGTACGTACCGGAGTCCTCTTCGACATTACAACGATTTGCAGCCTGGTTGACCGGTCGACGACCAGAACTAATTGATCCAGCGATATTGGCCTCCGGCGGCGGAAGAGAACGTAAGGCAATATTTGGAACGATTTCACGTTGGCTCGTGGGTGACACACCGGTGACAGTAAATTAATTGACCCGTGGGGATTCAGCGAATTTAGGACAGCTGATACGGTTGGCTGTATTAATATGCACAGTCCCTACAAACAGCCGATTGAATTAAATCATTCGACTTGTCAAATGCCCCAGCATTAATCAGTCGATACGCTTAGTGTTGTTTCGTAGTAAAAACCATTCATTTAATGGTACAGATCCAAGACGTACAATGAGTCTTACAACTTTTTAATTCGAATGATTAATATTTCTTAAAATATATTATACATTCTGAAACGTTTAGCGATAAAGATATATTGTGCAGTAACTAAGCTTTCGAATGATATATCATTAATTGAAAATAGTAATATACGTAAATGGAAACTTAAGCAAATCTTCGAAACTTTTATTTCATAAAAGTATTCTAATTCGTACAGTTTAAGGGGTCACATGGCATTTATAAATATTTGTAAGTTTTTTTGATTCCACAAGGATACAACTGCTACGAGTACAATTACTTTTGTGAGCTTCATTTCTATTACTATGAATTTATATAATATATTAGTATATTACTATATTAATATGAGTTATTAATCATATTACTATGAATAGTTATTCTTCAATAAACGAAGCATCATTCGAAAGCTTAGTTATCACAATACATATCCCTATTATTTTTTTTTAAACAAACAGTAATTGTGGTAATGGTAACAATTTGAAGAAAAATGTGTTAATTTCTATGAAACAACCTGTGCATTTTTTTTATTATTTGAAAACGGTTGAATTTATTTAAAAAAAGTCTGCGTAAGTCAATAGAGAATGGTATTTAGAATATATGTGCGAAAGATGAAGTTGATCGAATGAATGGTGAGGCAGTTATCATGCCCACCGTTTTAAAAAATGATGTCTCGAGAATCGAGAGAAACACGTTCGAAGATTTAAAAGAGTTTTAAAGTTACGTCAAATGGAAATCTTATAATCTACTTTTAATCAGCAGTGCCAGCAACATAAAACTGACCTTGCATTGCAGTTTTAGTTTAAATAATTGACAAAATAATTACTAAGCAATAATACATTAATAATTTCTAATTTGACTAAGTTCGTTAATAATTCAAATATCAAGTTTGAGCTTAAAATACTTATAAGATATATGTCTTTCAAAATATGTATGTTAAAAAAATCAATTGTTTTTAAGTAGAGAAACGTATATGAGCCCTTAAACGTGACAGACTCACCGACGTCTAAAAAGTTATTTTGAAATAGACGAAGCTCAAAATTTGATCTCTCCAAATGATTGAAGTTCATTGTCAGGGGTCATACATATCGGCAAACCTAAAATTTCACTCGCTCACAAACGCATTCCCACACTCGTAACGAACTAAACGATCCAAAGACCGTGCACTTTCTGATTTCGCGGTTCTCAAAGTTAGCCGAATAAAGTGGTTGGCCGAATGGAGCCTCTTAACTCAGAAACACAGTTTATTTCCCGAGACTTCCGGTCGCTATAAACCGCACATAAAACTATACGCGCCTGATATTTCTTCGTGGTACGAGGACCAGTCCTCGGGTTTTACGATTTCCTTTATAATTGCAGTCACGCGCATGAGAGTGGAGGGTATTGTCACCGTAACGTTCAACGTGGTGCTGAAAGATTTTTTCAAGCTGGGATACAACAATGGCGAGAAGCTGAAGAAGTAATAGGATTTACCCCCGTGATCGTTGCGTTCTTAATGTAATACTTCTACCAGAGAACGAAAACATTATATTTTGTGAAATATGTGCTGATTCATTACTAGACTAATTGTAAAGGTGATTATCTATTTGTTGTGGATCTTCGTATCGTATTATCATTGTGTTTCAATGTGGACGTCCAAGCGTTGCATCGTTGCGCGTGAAGATGTGATACAATAAGATACGACACGATGATACGACACGATGATACGCAACGGTGATACGATACAAAGATACGCAACAAATGCATACGCACCTTAACGTTTTACCATAGACAGTGACTACAGATACAAGGAGACTACGGATGCCATTGTTTTTTTAACATACATTTATTCAGCCAAAAAATAATACCAAATTTAATAATGGTAACAATAAACAAAAAGAAATTTTCTCGAATGCACAAAACAGGAGAACGTGGCTTATGCGCTATCTGCTTTATCTTACGTGTAGGATATACATATATGGATATATGTGATAGTACAGACGAGAATCTCGTTTGTGGTGATAAATACCCAACTCTGGGATCCTCAGGCATCCAAAATCCATGACACCTCGACAACATTGGCATCTGTAGTCTTGTTAGATCCCCTAATAACCAGTTGTGTGCAAATATCGAGCAAATTGCAAGCAAATGCCTTAGTAGCATTAATGGTTGGCCAACGGTATTCAACAGTTGGGAGTTAGTTGGGATATAGTTAGTGTTTTTGCCTATAAATTCCCAAAATAGGGTCTAGGATGAAAAAGGTATGACAATTTGCTAACGAATATCCAATGTTTGACCTATAATTATTATAGTTGGTTAATTAACAAGAAATTTACAATGATAATATAACATTGGCCCACCCAATGTTTGCCAACATTTAAATGTAGTCTTGAAGACGTCAGAAACGTTGCTACAACCAAAAACTTGTTATTATATTTCAAATTGATTTTTGCAACACATTTGACATTTGAAATTTTGTGAAAATGGAGTCTGGGGATAGAGGATTGGAAATAATTTATAATAATTATTTATAATACTAGCTAAATGTATAAATTGTACATAATAAATTGTAAAGGTAACTTTGCTGGTAAAACACTTGTTTATCTGTTTAATATACACATACAATTTATACATGTATATAATTATTATAACAAGTAATTATTATAAATATTATTTCCAGTGTTATACTTCTTCAATTTACGGAACTGAGATTATGTCAACGATTTGTTTCTTTTGTAAAAGGTTCCTTCAGCTCCAAAGTGAAGTAAATTTCATACTAATCTTAACGAAAGTTTTTATTGTACTGTTTTTAGCACAATCACGTTTATGATAAATGCATAAAATCCGCAGTCGATTCATATACTAATGTTTTCAGTTATCACATTTGTTTCCACGGTTAAATGTTTATAAATTCTTATTCTGATATTTAAAAAAATAATATACTATCCATTGATAGTAATTATATTTTTGCAATAAAACGTATTAAGAGATTTCGCGGAGTCTCTATAAATGTATCTCATCGAAAAGTTTTTCCGTGTATACACGACTTGGAGGAAATAGATAAAAGTTTCGACAATCTCGTTTTTTTTTCACGGAATTCCAATCGCTTCGGACAGGGAATAGATTCCTTTCGCGGCGGCGAGTTGGTCTCCTTTTATTCATTCGTCGATATCAACCACGCTCGTTCGCGGCGAATAAAATTCCGCGGATTACTTTAACAAGTCATTTTCCGGTATCCACTGTCCACGTAACAGAAAGAAAATCGTTATAGGGAAACGTTGGAGGACAGAAATTGAAAAAAAAAATTTTCGTTCAACTTTTTGTACCTCGAAACGGTAACATTTTTATTCGTAAAAAAATATGAATGCCTTTTTAGCAAAATATTACAACGTCGCAATCTTTACCATATTTTATAAAAAGCCGAGCCAATGGGAAATTGACGAAAGATTGCATGGAATATTGTAAATTAAAAGTTATAGTAAACGATCATCTTGCGATCTCCGTTAAGAAAATGAATCGAATATGAAAAATAATTTCAAGGAGACGTGAACTATAAGTTAAATTAATATTACGTTCAAGAGCTCCATCCTCTTAGATTAAAATTTTTGCGGGCACGCTTTATAGATTTTACGACACCATTTGTATCAACTGTTCCCGGTAATCCTCAATTTCTTACACGGCTTTCATGATTACGGTCGGGATGCTGCGCGAGCCGTTTCATATTTTAATGGTAAATTGTTGCATTAAACGAGGCCAGGACAACCGCGCGGCACACTGTTCATAGTGAGTAACACTGAAATATGCAAGTGCAAATATACTTCGGTATTAAAACATAAATGTGATATCGCATCCTTTTTTACCAGGAAAGTATTTCCATTAGCTGGAGCGTCTGTTTCACTATTATGATTTAAAATTATAGTGGAAAAAAAGCTGGAGAACGTTGCTGAAAAATGTTACGCGCGTTTATGCTTAATAAAGAAACATCATTCTTATGGACACTTTAAGCACTCTTCGCTACTCCTGGGTTTTAAAACAGTGGACTGTTTTACTGAACTTCGCTTCTAAACACTGGTTGTTAGTAGTTTCATTTATGTCCTGTCAGATAATTGTACGATTCAGGCCCAATTCCCCGTTAGCGGTCCGAGAAACAAATGATATTTAGGAATTTTTAAAAAAATCCAAAGATGATATAGTAAAAAAAAACTTCCAGGCCTTTGTTTATTATACATTCAAGCAAATAAAAAATATGTTTGTTTCAATATTCGTGTAGCGTGGCAAATTGTATGTGGCGTTAATCGCGTTGGTAAAAAATTGCACTGTACAAATGGTGTCCACGATATTTCGATGTAGAGTAGTCCGAAATCAAAATTTCACAAAGATTACTGAATGTCGAAAAGATAAAATGGCCGCATTTGGTATGAGTTTTAACGAAGACATGCAAAAAAAGGCGAAAATGTTACGTATACTATGTACTGAGAATAACAAAAGAATTTATTCTTCAAAATGTTCAATAGTTGGTTTTACGATAGCTAATTCAATTAGAATAAGAATTTTTAAAATCGGTTAATAACTTTTGACGTTATGATAGGCGTTGTATGTATACAGTGTAATTTCGGATCAACACGATTTGCACTACCAACAATGCGGGAATATAAAAACAAACATTTTTTTTATTTACCTGAATGTATAATAAATAAAGGCCAGGAAGTTTTTTTACCATATCCTCTTTGCTTGCTTTAAAAAAATTCCCGCGTCAGCTTTTTTTTCCGCCCGATAAAGCGGAAAGGTGCCTTAAAGACAATATTTTTCAAGGTCTTGATAATTGAGCCTTCAAAATATTTGGTACTAACTGTGTCGCATAGATTCATTAAAGTGGCGTCTACTGTTATCCAGGAATTAATTTAATTCCAGGAATTAGCCCGGCCTGTTTGAATGTCCATTAACGAAGATTAGTGTGCCGGATACAAAGATGGTGCAAAATGGCGGAAATAATCCACCTGGAATACAAATACTAATACAGGATAAAGCCGTTGCATTAGTCCTACGTTACTTACACGCCAGTCAGCTCAAGGTAAAAGTATTTTCCGTGTCGGTCTAGTAAGACGTACGAAATTTAAATATTTTCGAGACATCGCCGATGTCTAAATCCGAATGTATCCGAAAATTACTCTATCACCACGATCTAATACTAGCAATTTATCCTCCGACCAGGGATCAATACAGTTAATCGAGCTGGAAACTTCTTGATGTTCCTACTCATCGAGACGTCGATCAAAAAGCAACATCGTTGGATGAAATCTTTGGTGCCCATTCGCGAACACGGCTTTGTACTCTCGTTGATTGTCTTCTGGAAGAACGAGCAGACACGTTCGTCTCGATAGTATTTCCGGAATGAATGTTGCTGCTACGGTCATATAACGGCTAGAAGCGAGCGGCAACAATCACTCAAGCGGTGTGTAGATGGCGCGCAAGTGAATCTTGCCGTACTAGAAGTGGTAAGAATCATTCGATTGCAATACAGGGTTATGAAAAAAGAGGGTTATGACGTTAGGAGCTTATAGTATTTATCGCGAGAAGCAAAAAATGTGTAATCCACATACAGTCTGTTCTACAAGAAAGTGTACGGCATTATTTCTATGATACATAACCTAAAAATTTAATTCCTTCGAACTAGAATTTTAAACTGAAATTGTTTAGACAGCGCTGATTTAAGTGTCCAATCTCAAGAATTCTCGACAATACTCGTGAAATGCAGAGTAAAATTTCTTTTGTCGAGAAATGAAAAGTATCCAGAAATCTAGTATGCAAAATAAGTATAGAAGAACGTAAACACGAGTTTCACCCATCGTAGGCTGTTGTACGTAGACTCTGGCAAGTGAATCGAAAGGAAGTGCGCATTTTGCAATTCCATTCCGTTCCGTTACAGCGTCATAAAATTCATCGAACGTTGTATTACAACATGTCGATAGAACCGACAAGTTTCGAACGCAAAACGTACGGTACCAGCAATGGTGCAATGGTCCTGTAATTCAATGTCGAATCAAAATGTCGCGGCACTTGAAAAGGGAAACAGCTTAAAATGACATTGGTGTCTTTACGGAATTTGTTCGCGAAGCTGCTAACTCGAATTGTCGGTGTACACGTTTCGTCGACAAAAGAAAACGAAGGAAATTAGTTGCGATTTATTTTTCCGGTTGATCGAACAGAAAAAGCTCGGGCGGGAAACGTTAAGCGTGAATTGTATTTCGACACGGCCGCTACTTATTACAAAGCGACGGGATCTAAAGGCACTGTGTGTTTTCCAATTTCACTTTATTGCCGCGGAATTGTGTTAAATTACAGGCACAGAAGGCACGCGATATAAAATAGCGGCGCCTCGAAAATCGACACTGTACGCTGTCCGTGTTCGTACGGTTTCAACAATTAGCCAAGATTTTTTTTCGAGTGCCAAAAGGTAGGGGATTTAACTGGGAACTGTGTACACGATTATAGAACGAATGAAGATTCTATTACATTTACTACTTATTAGAAAAAAATTTGACGTAAAAATTATAATAATAAAGGAAAGTTTAATATTAATAATAAAACAAACGAACGAAATTTAATTACGTATCGTATGTAACTGTAATAATAAGATTTAATTATCGCTGCATGAAAATTATAATTAGTACAATCAAACGTATAATTAAATTCGCGTACCCTGTCGAAGAATTGTCGTCCCTCCAGATGCGAGCAGCGGTTGCATAGAATTCATAAAATGTGACGAACGCATTGTTCATTTCAACATAGAATTTTAACGTGTATTATATTGCATCGTTTGAGTACACTCTTTTTCAAGGAAAAACCAATAAAGTGTAATAATTATGGGATTCTAACAATTTGATTGAGACTGCGTCAATTTTGAGCCGCCCATTTCTGTTCCTTTTTTTTTATTTTCTAGTACTTCAGTTTTGCCATTAGATGGCACCACTATTCACTTTTTCGTGCACATTATATTACTATCTTAAAGTTAATCATAAATACATAATACGAATTTTCTCAGTGTTTAAATCGTTGTGCGGTTACTGGAAAGATTTTTTACAAAATGTCTTTGCACGAGATTACAATAAACATTCTGTTGCGCACGAAATGCAATTTTTATTTACAAATTAATAAGGTGTTTATTATTCTGCATCGAGATTAAAGAAATGCCCATACTGAACGGTCAGAGTAAAGCTTTTAATACTGTCGACATACTAACATTTCTATTTCCGTATAAATAATATTGCAAAGTTTTAATTAAAACCAGTTAAACTATGTAACGTTTAATCAAAGGCTGACGATAATTATTCCGGAGTTGTAACTTTAGCCTTGTAGATACAGTCTTCATCAAGTTAGAACGTGGCTTCACTGTAATATAGGATATTGGAATGGAAAATATCGAATGTGAAAATGAAACTGAATCGGAAAACGTTCAACTCTCGTAAAATATATATTTTTCTTTATTCCAATACACACGCGGTTCCTTTGTTATCTCCGTTAAATTCAATTCAACGGTGTAATAAAAATATACATGTATATATTATATGTAGATTTCTTTATAAAGCTTTTTCTCTCTAAATCTTTCCCGTTCGTAACACCAGTATACATATTTCGATGACACACGATAACAACGTTTTCCTTGCGAACTCACGCAACGACGAATAAACGAGGCTAACAATAAGAAGTAAAACGTTAGAGGTTTGTCGCCAGCCTCATTGATCACGCGAAACGACAGAAAACGCATATGCTAGTCTTCGAATCGCCCTAACTTATCGTTACACAACTAGCATTAAATTAGAATACTGACAAGTTACACGCAATTATACTTTGTGCTCGGGGTTTCGTATACCAATGTATGTATACAACGTTGTAAGGCCGATCGAACGACCAGATGGCGTTCGTATCGCGAACCGTTACGATCCGTGCACATTCCGGTCCTAATATTTTGCGACTGTGCTAAAAAAAAAAAGTACTCACACATTTCAAACGATGGAAAGTCTGCTGTCTCTCAACATTCATTTGACGGTTGTTAATGAAATTAATATTACAGATTAAAATATACTAATACTTCCATTGTTAGAAATTATGAATCATAGATAACGTTACATAACTGTGTACATCGTTGCCAAATTTCTTGCGTGCTTCGATAAACTAAAATGACTGTTAGAATGAAATTATTACACGATTTCTGTTATATCTATTTATTTAAATTGTCGTTGTTTTTGCCACTTCTATCGAGTTCTCTCAAACCACATATCGTACATTCTGTCAATTAATCGTGAAAGTAATTTCCCAAGTTCTCAATTCTTTGAATTTTCCTTTCTTTATAATCTGATTACAATGAATTGAATATTAAATATTGGCACACGGCAATAAAATTCTTGATTTAATGAATAAAATATTTATAAATATGTGAACTTTAATATAATACCAAGCCAAGTCAAGCAAAATTTCATCTAACATTTGATACTAAATTATTTCTAAAACTCACGATTGATCTCAGGAAAATTGATTTCTGAGGCTCATAACAAGTATAAAAAAGTAATTAGCACGTGTTATTGAAACATTTGTTTTAACATCACATTATTTTATCCAAATACGCAGAGATCTTTGGAACACCCTGTATGTATGTTACTTGAAATTCTTCACGTAAACTATAGAAAGTACCAAATACCTGTCATTAACACAGACAAGAATTGCGGTTCACCGGAGAAGTGATTACAATCTGTAGGCAAATCGAGACACAGAACTCTCTTAAATTACAAACCGATTCGCATCGAACCAACGGTGGATTTTATAAAACGCGCTGCCCTGTTTTTCCGTATAGACTAGATTCGTTGGAAAATACACGTTGCATTGCCGTCAATAAAACCTGGAAAAATAAACAAAAACTTTATTCGGTTATACAGTCGACGAAGTTCCCTATATTTACGAGAAACAATTACCAAAATTTACAGAGTTAATGTGAAACGAAAAATGAATGGATAAAATATAGCGAACTCGTAAAATTTTGTTCGAAAATAAAATTCTGTTGAAACGGTTGGTGTAGACCCGTTTCTTCATCAGGAAATATACAATATTTTATGCTTCTTATTGCACTGATTTGTAAATTAGAATGTCGTTCACGATTTTAAACATTGATAGGGTGACCTGGTTAGGTCTTTCGTCATGAATGGTGCCACTTTCCTAGAGCTAATTTTTCAATTTCGCTGCATGCTGTTTAGTGACTATATGTATATAGAAAGGGGAGGCTTTGTATAGCCGTGGGCAACGTCTGGATTAGGTATCACATGTCTACTGTCATGATACCCCCTTTGTTGGCTGACGGATCCTCTGCGTATATTGTTACCGTCAGCCACACTTGAATTCATTTCGAATCACATCAATCTTACGTTATTATACGATAAAAGCTGCCAAAAATTCTTTCAATCTAAGCAATACAGTAGAATCACTGTATGTAAGTTCTATGTATTTGTAACAGTAGAAGACATCTGTTGTTGACAGATACTCTGCTCGGATAACAGGATATTCGAATATTACGTTACTTAAATAGTATTCGGATACGATAGACTCTATTTTACTTTGTTCATAGCCAGTTATGAGAATTATTTATCCGAAAATTTCGTACCTGCTATTGTCCGACGTTTCTAACACTCGAGTCAGCAAGCATCGGCGTGTCCTTGTACGTCAAGTACGGATACATGCTCAGAAACTCGAAGACCACGCCGTTCGTCCAGCCGAAACCCGTTTGAACGGTGTACTCCCCGCCGCCACCGCCTTGGCCAGGAATAATTGCGCTGTACTGCAATTAAAAGAGTAATTAAAGTGAGTAATCACGCGTTCCTGTTTCAAAGCAGCCGTCCTCGAGAAGTAATTAAGTCACGGGGTGATCAACAGGATCCCCCAATGTTAACTTCTGCCGTGGGTAGCAACGGGACGCCTTAGAGTACAACGTCTAATTTTGCAACGAGTTACGGAAAAAGTAAGAAGCACAGGGCAGTGATGGGACCACTTTCAATGTGCAACAATGGACAAGATTCGTTCCATTGAACGTTATTAATCCTCCTGCACCGGTCGAGTCAGTTTGACATAAAATTGAGGTTAAAATTTAGCGATAGGTCAACACGCATTCTCTCAGATATTTGAGGCTTCCACGGTTCGGCATCATATAGTTAGTGTTGAGGCTTTTCGGTGTAAGCTCTGTCCCTGTGAAATTGCTTTCCCAACGTTTCGCAAGCATTGCTGTTGGCTTCATCAGGGGGTCGAAAGACAGAGTCTGATACTACTCTGTGGTTTGAGATTCTTTAATAATATACTGGAGATTGTTCATGTTCCGATGTATCGCTTATCGATCAAGAGACATTTTTAATAGCTGAACAATTAAAGACACAGTTTTAGATATAATTCGTTTAATTTCGTATAATTTCGTTACTAAATGTCAGACAGGCTCATTACAAGGAGTAAAATGTACTGCTTTTCATAAGTGTTTGTTATACAAATTGTGATTTTTCATTACTTATTGTCATTTCAAGTTCGGTGAAGAAATGCGATTTCTGTTCACTCGAGTAAATATTTCTTACTCTCTTCTTCGTTTTCTGTGTGATATGTAGCGTATTACTGTGAAATTTCTGTTATACTAATATACACTGCATGCTTTGAGAGAAAAGTTTCTTCTAGAGTTTTCCCAACATTTTACTCCGTTGTAGTATTGTAATTTATTTTTATACCGTATCACAAGTGGGGATAGTTGTCGCAAGTATGATCTACTATACTTACAGATATAGTACTCCTGTGAAGAAAAAACTACAAACAAACATGCCGAAAGGGAAGAAAAGAAACACCTAAAAGTAGTAGTTCGTAAAAATAAGTTTTAACTTACAAGGGAAGTTCGGTAACCCGAAATTTTTTTTTTTTAAACTTTGCAGGTTTGTAGTGGACCTCAAGAGGAGTATAGCGCAATTTTTGTTTTTGGCACAGTTTCAGTTCTTCAGAGTGAAAACATCCCTTGAACGTAGATAGGTGTTTCCATATTTCCCTGTATATCTTTAAAACTATCGTAGATATAAAAAAAATGGCTATAATAAAAATTGAATGGTTTTTTATGCTCTATAAAACGATGCAATTAAATTCATAACTAATAAAACTGGGGGGGGGGATGTTTTTATTTAAACAAACAATTTTTATCATTTTAATTGCATCGTTTTATAGAGCATAAAAAACAATTCAATTTTTTTATACCTACGATAGTTTTAAAGATATACATAGAAATATGGAAACACCTATCTACCTTCAAGGGATGTTTTTACCCTGAAAAAAATCGGAATTTTCAGGTTACAAGGCTCTGATGACAAGGGCCTTTTGATCAGATTTTACGAAGTACGCAAACATTTGTGGACAGTAATATGAATACTTGGCAACAGTGGCTAGGGACAACTTCAGACCCGAATTCTAATGATCAAACGACGATAATCAACATTTGGGTCGCCCGAACAATGCTTAATTAAAGTTTACAAAGTCGATCATAGGGGCCAGTTTAACTGTCGTTTCTAATGAAATTTTGAATTAAGAGGAGAAAGAAGTTTCGCGAGCGGTCCATCGTTCCCCGTTATCTAGCCAAATGTTTCGGGGCAGTCCGAACAAAAGACGTTCCCCGTCGCGTCCTTATTGGGTTTCCGGAAGCGAGCGAAGAATTTCTGATGGGAAAAATTCGACCGGGACGGTTTCGTTTCGTAATGAGCTACGATTGGGGCTTGCAGGATGGACGCCACTTAAAGATTCATTGCAGGACGGGATTTGCATTTCTTTGAATTAGCCCTCTCGTTTGAAGGCAAATGAAGGTGATTAATTTGCGAGTGAATATCCGGTATAAGTAGTGAGACTGAATTAAGATGTAAATCTGGCGCTTCAAGAATGTATTGGCTTTACGCGTGTTCTGGGTGTGTTGAGACGATTGAATCAAATGTTTGTAATGGCGAAAAAATTCTTTGAGGAATTTATTTTGAATTGTATGAAAAGTTGCTTATATTAAGGAATTCATTTTTCTTATTCAGTTTTGCTGACATCGACAGTGGCTGATGGCGAACAGCGCGATAAAGGGAACAAGTGATCAATTATTAAGATCGTGATTAGATACTACCATAACATTTCAATTGAAATTTTGGTAATTTCTGCAGTTAAGAATACTTTATTGAGATATTGTAAATATTACTACATAGTTCCCTTTATTAAATAATTATTTTCATGGTTTTCATAAACACCAGGCATATTTAATGCAAATCACTTAATGCTCCTGGATATAATTCACAATAACATATAAGTAAATGTGGTTTATCTCGTTTTTCTCACATTACGAAATTCAAACCGCGGAAATGCGATATTTCGCGTCCACCTGCATAATGCATCACCTATGATCGATTACAGTACACGAAAATAACCTAAATACTAAAATTTCACTTTTTTATTTTCGTAAAAGTATTACAGTAAAAAGACACATCAAAGTTTTCAGTTATTCCTACTAATTCTATTGTATAAAAAATAAAAATTGGTTGTTTTATTTTCACCTAACTATTTTCACAAAAAAAAAAGCATTATAATAATTCTAAATAGCAAAGTTATCAATTGCCCACACTGATCCTGCCCTTTTCCTGCTTCTACTATTTCTATCCCGTTCGAATATGGTTAGAACCACATATATATATATCGCCGGATGAAGATGAGTATCGATCGATATAAATCCACAACACGCGAAATACCCCACGCGTATCTTTGCCCCTTTTCCACCCACGGAAATAAAAAATACCCAATGGCGTACCTCACCTCTTCAACGACGGCGATGACGGTTTCAAATTATCATCGACTATACATCGGTACATTCAAAGGCGAACCTCTTTCTCGGGTGCACAGAAACCGTGGTTCAATTCTTACAGTGACTTCCTCCTCTCGGTTCGCGATCCGATAATGTCACATGCATTGAATCATGCCGTTTCACGGAATCAATATCTGCTTGTCGAAATGGCACGGAAAAGATTGCTCTTTTGTGCCGTTCTATATATTATCTACAATTCAATCGATATAGACGACAAATTAATATCGAAACTCTACTAAATACTCCGAATACAACATAGGGTGAGCGCACCTAATTTTGCCTAGCTAAATTGTTCTCAATTGAAGGATAATTGATATTTTTGTATTTAAGTCTCACAAAGGAACATACCCAAATTGACAATCGCCGATTTTGATGCAACTGTGGGAGATTATAGTTCTCATAAAAATATTTGACACGTATTTTCTTTAGCTGCTCTTATCCACTTTAAAGGGGTGAAACCAACCCTCGAAGTTAGGGATGTGAACTGTATTCTGTTGAATATCTTGGAGACTATTAGAGATATAAAAACGGTATAAATTGCAATATTGTGTGCTTTTTCATAAGGAATCCGGCTATATAATTGGATTCCAGAATGATTCATTTGTTTACACAATACGTTTAAAAAACAGTATTCTTTGTTCATTTTTCTGGTCAAATGTTAATCGATTTTCTTATACATTTGTATGTGAAAATTAGATGTTGTTACCCTGTTCCTTTTGCGGCATTACTGGAAACTTAATTTATTTATTTTTTTCATTTCTTATTGGACTGCTTAAAATTCTTTATAAATTCCACAACGAAGCTACGCCAAAACGTTGAAACACGCATTTGAATTTTAAATTATTCGTGTACACAGAAGTCTATTTAGTTTGGAGTCTGCAATCCCAAATTGGAAGCACGGGCGGACATCAGAGTCCTGCTTATGCAACTTTCAGTGACCAACTATCCGTTACACCATTATTTCCATAAATGGAATCGAATTACGAAAAGAGACGGTACCACGTAAATATCAAACATCCTGGGAAGGGAATGATAATATTTCAATTTCGTCAAATAAAGAGTATTGAAATCTACAAGATGAATTCAACGATTTGAAATGGTCGAACATTGTGGACTGCGAAGGGAATAATAAATTTTCAATTTGGTCAAATAAAGAGTATTGAAATCTACAAGATGAATTGAACGATTTGAAATGGTTGATCATCCTGGGCTGCGAAGGAAACGATACTTTTCAATTTGGTCAAATAAAGAGTATTGAGATCTACAAGATGAATTGAACGATTTGAAATGGTCGAACATTGTGGACTGCGAAGGGAATGACAATTTTTCAATTTCGTCAAATAAACAGCATTGAAATCTACAAGATGGATTGAACGATTTGAAATGGTCGAACATTGTGGACTGCGAAGGGAATGATAATTTTTCAATTTCATCAAATGAAGAGTATTGAAATCTACAAGATGAATTGAACGATTTGAAATGGTCGACCATCCTGGGCTGCGAAGGGAATGATAAATTTTCAATTTGGTCAAATAAAGAGTATTGAAATCTACAAGATGAATTGAACGATCTGAAGTGGTCGATCATCCTGGGCTGCGAAGGAAACGATACTTTTCAATTTGGTCAGATAAAGAGTATTGAGATCTACAATATGAATTGAACTATTTGAAATGGTCGAACATTGTGGACTGCGAAGGGAATGATAATTTTTCAATTTCATCAAATGAAGAGTATTGAAATCTACAAGATGAATTGAACGATTTGAAATGGTCGAACATTCTAGGTTGCGATGGGAATGATAATTTTCAATTTTGTCGGATGATGAGCATCGAAATCTATAAGGGTATTACCCGTGGAAAAAAGAAAGCAGTCCCCCGAAATACACCGACGCCGGGACTGTCGTCTCCGACGCAGAAAAAACGGGGTTGCGAAAGGAAAAAAAAAGGTGCTGTTATTTTTCACAGTAAGCCCAGCCGGCCGCGGGAGAGTTTCATAAATTCTCTTTTTCGTCGCAATGTCGGAATCGAAATGAAGTATGAAACTCCACGGTTCTCCACCGACAACGGTTGTTCGAGTGTCTTCCTCGCGTCGCGACTCGTAAAAACGACCCATAAAAAAACATAAACGAAAGCGGATCGAAGGCGTACCGAGAAACCGTGCGCAAAACATTCATAGATGGATGAAAAATGATGAACAGTGATTCATTCCGTCTCCGAACGACTACCTAGCGCTCTCATGCCGTAGGGGGTATACATATTTTAGCGTGAATTCACGCATCCATCTTGCGCCCCGATAGTCCCTTTTCCCGCAGGCGGACATATGTCAGTCAACGAAGCGACGACCTAAAGCCCTGTTCACACGCTCGAATGAAAATTGGACAACGCCGTGCCCCATTTGCGCGGGGGCGGATACTGAAATTACGAGATAAGTTACAACGTCTTCAGTCACTCTGAAATTCATGCTGCAATGTTAAGGTAACTTAATATTGATCTGTTCTACTTGGTCTCCTTACACGTTGCCTGCTTCAGTGAAAAAGGTTGTACGTAGCCAGACACACTTCATTTCGTCTTTTAGGCATAAATCGTCGAACATATATGCGTTTAGTTCATAGAGGCTGTTGGTCTTGTTTTGAATTAAAGAAAAACTTTTTAACGGTAGTTAAATAATTCAGCTACTTTGCAATGTATGTACGTGTTACTCATATTTGGGAGACGTAGCAGTCAAAGATTTAAAATTCTTTTCTGCGATGATACTGATGTTTGTTAATAAAATGTTATTCGAGGACACGAATATTACGAACATTTTTAAGACAATTGCCACAGGAACTTTGCTGAGACAGAAGGTAGATTGTGAGGAGTGCTTTTCTAGTGATCTATACTACTTCGTTAATTTGAAATTATATTACTGAAGAGTATTTAATTTTCTTTATTAAGAAAATTATTAAAAAAGGTAACTAGTAAGATAAAAAGATTAAAATAGTTGCAAGAAGTTTAATTTCAAGTTCAGATCAGTTAAGTTAAACTTTAGGAAAATTTATGTTTGATCTATATTACTTTCTTGCTTCAAAATAATGTTCATTGGATCACATTAAGGTTTGTTGATAAGAAAAGTTTTGGAGACTGTAAAAGATATTTGTAATAATTTTTCTGTGAATCAAATTGTGATATTTGTATAACAAGTATAACATTGACTTGCACTACTTTGTTTCCTTGGAGTTCTATTTCTTATCATCGCGCTATCATGTACAGGTCAGAAAATTACTTGCGCAAGGAATCATGCTACAATTAAGAAAGGAATATAAGTAGTAGATAGCTGCATTTTTTCTTGCACATAAATTCTATTCTTTTCGCAAATTAAGAGTCCTTTAATATTGACCTATACTACTGTATCTCATACAAAATTTATATCTTCTGAATATCTTCGTACATATTTAACAGAACTAAAACGAATTCTGATAGTTGGTTACATTAGCTTCATCATGAGATATTAGATTTCAATCTTAATTTTGCTAATAAAAATATCTTTGTATTATTAAAACGTGATAAATCGTTTTCTCTCCGATTTATACATAGAATGAAAGTGGACTCCAGGAGTGAAACGTGAAATCTCTATTTTCACTAGAAAATGTATCAGAGCAACTTCTACGTCGTTTTCGTAGCACTTTCAGGAAGTGTATTATTGGAAATTAAACTCTTAGGAAATTACTTGAACATGTCTATCGCCCAAAGAAACGTGATTCTCAACACATTTCTTCGTGAATATCTCGTCCATTATAACATCATTTACTTGAATCATTTCGTTCAAGAGTCGAAAATCAAACTGATTTAGTAAAATGAAAAAGGAAAGGTGGACACTAGACAAATATTGAGCATACACGAAAGATTTACGAGAGTTCTAACCGTACAGAGCGGATGTTTACTCAATAAACAGATGAGAATCCTGGGAAAGGAGCGTGTGCCTGAGAATACGTGCTCCCAGGATTTCGATTTAATCCGCACTTACCATAAACGTAGATGAAATTTTTCGAAACTAAAACACTTGAATTATTAAACGGGTCAAATAAATAATACCTATTCTGACACGATATGTATTAGTTCGTTTTGTGAATTCTATATTATTAATTTATTATCTTTGCGGATATATTTTCTGAGATTTGACGCAAAAAGGAGAATATAATTTCACGGTGAACGAGATAGATGAAAAAATTCGAATAACAATGAATCGGAACTATTTCCACACTTCCAGTCTTCTTTTAACTTCTATTATCCCTACAAAAGAGATGGGTGTCTCTTGTCGAGTTACTGAACCCTTTTACGATCTCAAGCAAATAATTTCTGGGGCTTCAATTTCGTTAGTATGGATACTATTATTGCAAGTGTCTTTAACGACATAAAAAAAAACGACTGAGAAGGTTCCGAAAGATCTTTTTAAAAATCTCAAGATATTTTATGTTACGGACTTATGAAAGAAAGTATACAAGGGAAGGTTGCTGAATTTGGACCTTTTTACTAGGCTGGTGCACTTCTGTGATTGGTTATGTGTAAGTAATTTCTGCCGTATGATTGACAATTATACTAAGTTAATTAATGAAATCACTACTATCATACACATACTGTGTATCATCCGGTTCCAATTGCTTAGTCATGACAAATTAGAGTAGGGGTCCAAACTAGGCGATGGTCCAAATTGCGCAATATAAAGCCTCAGTGATTATTTGAAGGCTCTTCGGCATTAACAAGGGGAGGTCCCCAGGTGTAACGCTGACTTTTTAATGAGGTTTAACACAGTGATGAAGCTTGTAATTCAGAAGCCAATGATATTTGTTTCAACCGCATATGGCCAGTAGTTTATGTAATATTTAACGTTCAGTGTCGAGTAGCCTCCGAACAATCATCGATGATTTACTGTATTCTTCCCGTTTTGTTTTAAGCTTGACTGCCAAATACGCCTTGCTATACTTATGAACTATTTCGTATATACTGCCTGAAGGGTATGAAATATAAAAATTTGAAATTTTTAATTCTTTTATAGAAGACTCACTTTTTCGTACATCATTCCGGTCTCATTATAGCCAGCATAGTTGGAGCTGACCCATCTGTCTGCCAGTTCTTCGGAAAATAGCATCGCTTCCTTCTCACCAGTCATATACAGACCCGTTACGATGAACGATTGCAATGGTGGCCACGCATTCGGATAATCCCATTGTTCTCCTGTGTAGTTTAGGGACGTGGGTGTACCACCTGCAAAAAATAAAAATCATAAAGGAACAGTCGAAATAATTTTGAGGGTGTAGACCTAACCTAAATACCTGCAACCTAAATAGTGAGGTCGGAAAATCGGCCGGTTAGGGCAAATGGGGACAAAGTAGTGATTGTCGGATTATTCATTTCTGAGACGAGTGTAGTTACGGGTTAATACTCGGCGAAAGATGTGTAATTGTTGTATCAGATTACTTTAGTAAATACAAACTTATGCAATTTAGCATGTCAGACCTTTACATCATAAATAAAGAAGAAGGAATACAATTCTGTCTAGCCAATGTTATTAATGTAAGCAACGACTTTTAGAATAATGCGGTGATAGAATTTGAGTTTAATATATTCTCCCGGCTCTGTACTTGAGAAAAATGGCGTAGAACAATGACAACTATTACTGAAGCATCGCAATACTTTAAAATTACTTCTAAACAATCTTGAATTTAGCAACTTGGAAAGAATTGATTACAAATTGGTACACTTAATATAATACCAAAACTAACCAATAATGTTTTCATGAATATCATATAATACATGTAAATAGTACAAGTATTCGTCATGTCGTCCTAAAGACTCGATTAATACGTATTCAATTCGGGGAAACTTTATGTCTTACAATGCCAGGTACATACGAAGAATTTTCGCCGAAATTATACGATCGGAAGCAAAGGATCCTGTCCGTTAAAACGGCTTGTATTTCACGTTGATAGGACTTTCCGTTCTCAAGATATCATCGTTTAAAGCAACGTATAATTTCGAAATATTTCACAATCGTTCCTTTCCGCTGGATTTCGATTCTCACTCCATCTGCCTCACTGATCTACAACACGCTTGGCACCTGTGCCGTGGCCAATGACACCGGCTGACTCAGCGTGCTTTTTACTACTACCATTAGGACTAGACGTTCGTATTTCTACGTAAAAGAATTGGTTCACGGCATTTCTTAGTTTTTCGTCGCCATTTGCTATCATCGTACACCATTTATGATCTATTGGGTTGATGCAAAAGTTCGTTCCATTTGACAAAAATTGAAGGAAAATTTTATTTACAAAAAATTATATTTAATCATTATAGGATGTGCCGTTCTGTTCGATAACCTTTCTCCATCTATCTAGTAACTGCATAATCCCGGGCTCATGGAACCTTTGAGGTTTCTGGCTAAAGAACTGATCCAACAACGGGACGAACTTTTGCATCAACCTAATACTTTGATACTTTAAGTGGATAAACATTGAACAGCTTTAGTCAGTTATTATGTAAAGAGAATAGCGAACCTAACAAAAATTTAAAATCAAGATAATGATCACCTTGCTAAAGAGAATTGGCTGATGAATGCTACAGATTTTGAAATGACAGAACTATGTCACCAGTACTCGGTTAAAGATTTTGAAATGACGTAGGACTACGTCATTTCAAAACCGGTTACGAATGGGTTAACAATAGTGACCAGTAGGACCAGTTCTTAGTAATACTGATAGTACGTATGACTATTTTTGCGACTTTACGCTGACATTTTTACTGTTAGTATGTCAACTCGGTATGTGTGAGTTTCTCCTTATCAATATTTGTGTCAATCTCTACAGTACTCGACGATAGTAGTGTTTACGAATAAAATATTTTAGATCAACATCTATACTTAATCTCGATCAATCAATACTGCCGACATATTGTACCTTTCATACAAAAATGACACACCACAAAAACGTTAGTTTCTCAAAACATACAAAAAAAATGTTAAAAATCACAGTCTCGCTCCGAACAGCAAGAGTGACATAATTGTTCTCAATCAGCTTAAAGATTACATTTTTGATGTTTGGTCCAACAGTGTTGTGCAAATTTCTCATAGCCAATAATACGTTCTCAAAGCTCAAATAACACGTTTTTTGAGATCAGTCATTTTTGTAGTAAAGGTGCGATGTGAGCAGTAGTACAGTCTGAATTCATTAATTACTTGTTACTACATTATTATTAACATTGGCAATATCGTCGGTATTTGTAAGTATATTATTCCTTAATACTGTTAATTTGTTGGTCTTGTAAGGACTAGTTTATGTCTGGGGAACCAGTTAGGTTAGCGGCTTCAAGTAAAATGCGTTGTTGACCCTTTAACGTCCAGTGTTGTCCAAGTGCGTCAAGTTCTGTCGCCAGTTATCTAACTTTTATAAGCAACGATCCATAGTTTCACCGATGTGAAGTATATCTTCACGTTATCAGTTGAGAAATTCAAGTATTCCCTCCAAATATAAATAAAAAATTAAAAAAAATGGATCTGTTTAATATTGACATTTTCAACTTTAAAATGACAAGATACAACATATATGTATATATATCAATTTCATAATTTTGAAGTAACGATTTAAGGGTCTGGACGCTAAAGGATTAATATCTTGTGAAGGTTCAGTTAAAAAATTTCATGACTTATTTTCGAATACTTTAAATGGAAAGTTTGCTACGTATGAGTTTAAGTACGATTCGTACTCATTTTCATATATTTTAAATGGAAAGTTCGCTGTGTATGAGTTTAAGTATGATTCGACCCAAATGGTTCATCACATCTAGACAATTTGTATCTGGATTTCGAAGTATTAAATGGCATTCTGTAATACTTTTAGTATACATAGAGAAAAAAAAATTTATCTGAATTATACATGAAAAGGTACGTATGTAAATTGGACAAACTGAATTTTCAACGTATCATATTTGTTTCTAAAGGGAACTGCGTTTAGCATCCAATACACATTTCCAGCGTGATAAACCCGGTTCTTTCAAGGAGCAAAAGAAATACAGAGGCGAACAATTCGTCTCTTATCTCGATTCCATTCGATTTCATTCTTATGGGAATAACTTTTGGGGACGGAGGGTTTCTTCGAGACTGTCGAAAGTTTAAATTGAATCGTAGCACCGAGAAGGAGCTAAAAGCCGAGGAAATTAAACCGCGAATCAAGTGGAATTTTAACTCTGAATTTCGGTCGTTAACACGATCGTCGACTGCGAAGGACTCACCGAAGAAACTGTCGATTTTCTGCGATTTCAAATATTTCACGGCGGACGACGCGTATTCCTCTCGTTTCTGTTGGTTGTAGCTTTTCGTGTACAATGGCGCAAGATTCGAAGGGTAAAATGTATTTCTGGGTCGATTATTCTGCACGTCGTAGTCCAACCAGATTCCTTCCTCCTCGTTCCACAAGACATTGTCGATCGCCTGCTGTAGCTGCGCTGCAACTTTTTCGTAGGACGCAGCTTTCTGAAAATTAACAAAACAATGAATGTACGAAAGGTTGAAAGATGTTTCGATAAAAAAGAAAGAATATTTTTGTTACTGTCTACGAAAGAGGTTTAATGTTTAATTACGAAAAGGATTTTCGGTGGAATTTTCTTCTGGTAACTTTTTTATTGTGTGCTAATATTTATTCATTTATCGAGCATGTGTAATACAATTTACCGATATTTCTATTTTACCGTTTTTCCTTTAAAACGTAAATCCTGATAAAGTTACGAAATTAGTTGTATAATTGAATTCTTATGTAACAGTTTACAGTTTTCCTGTTTGAAAATTTATAACGTTTAGGTATAGTTTTCACTAAGTGATCTTAGTACATTTCTCGCCACAGCGATCAGGTTTCATTAATGAACGAATCGCATGATGTGTCCATTCTCTCTTCCTACACCCTCGAGTACGAAAACAACAGACAATGAGAAATCTATGTGGAATTACGATCGTTAGACGTAATGGCTTCTCTGATACCAGACGAGCAGCCCGAGCTTATCTTTTGTCATTCCGATTTGTTGCACGTTCTTTGTGTACCTTCATTTATCCGTGGAAAGGAAATAAGTACACTAGTGTGGCAGTGGCTTCAACTGATATGTTATGATTGCGAAAGATTATACTGCATGGGACACTGATAACTTATTGTTAGTTATTTTCGAAAAACGTTCATTTCACAGAGAAGTATATACATGTAAATCTTTAATTAAATACTCATGTAAGTACTCGTTACTGCCATTCGATTAATCTGTTAAATTGAACCTCTTTGAATTAAAAACTTATTAAGAATATTTTTTATTGTCACTGAAAACGATCCCCCTGAATATTTTTGAAATCGTTGATGATACTGAAAAATGTTTCAGATGACAGTTGAATGATTTTAAGGGGCAAATAATTTGTCGTAAGAAGATTTCTTGTAAGTGGACGTGTAGAGGATATATGAAGGTAAAATTTGTCTTTTTAGATGGAAGCATATTTTAATGAATTAACCGATGTTTTTTATTTTTACATATGTTAATTACCATAGTTTCAGTAGTAGACTGTAAAGTTTTCAGAGTGGGATCGCAATGGGTTAGAAAGATATAAGTATTTTCGCAGAGGCATGTTTGACGATCGAATTAATTCTTATAACTTTCCGTTATAAATTTACTCGCTTTTCTATACGATTAAAAAAAACTAAACGTATATTTTTATGTTTACACAATATCAATTTTTATAAGGAATGACAAGCTGCATCGGTTAATTCGTTAAAAAATATATGATTTCATATTTAAGAAAACCAATTTGACTTTAATATGTCCTCTACGTGTCTACCTACGAGAAATTTTCATTACAGTCGTACACAACGACATTTACTATTTCCTTCGACATTCTGAAAGAACGCAAAGTTTTCAAAATTTTTTTAACACACCATGTAGTAAATTAATTCTTCTAACTTCACAAAGAAACTCAAGTCACTTGGTCCAATTTGGAAGGGTTGTTCTATTTTAAAAGGTGTACGAATACTTTCTTTTACCCACTGTAAATGGCGTTTAGCGTCTTCAGCGTTATAACTCCACAAATTTCGCACAGATACATCAAAATGCTGTTCGGTACGATTCATTAAATTCTACAAACTTTAAAAAAAAAGTTGGTTAAAATTCTACATAATTTTCGGTTATAAAAAGAACGTAACAATAATAACCATAACGTGTTCAAACGGTCATTTATTTCCTATTAACCTAATATTTCAAGAAGATTTAGGTAAATGGAAACTGGTAATACATTAATATTAACTTCGGTATTACTTCGATTATGTAGATGTTGGTACCACGATGCTTACGACGTAATTTAACGGAACAAATACCAGCACCGGCGTGATTTCAATTTCAAATCGGTGCGCGCACCTCTTTCAACGGAGGACCGTATATCGCGAGCAACAAGTTTATGGATGGAATTTTAACGAGGCCGGTTCGATGGCGTTATTACTCACCCTGAAGTTCCCCAAATACTTATGAAATTCGCTGAGGAGTCGTGCGTTTTGTTGCAGAATGGCATTGAGGTCGACAGGTACAATGTACTCCGTCGAGATGTTCACTAAACCGAGCCCGCTGTCCGCGATGTATCCTTTTAACCACCTGTTGGAGAAGTCCCAGCCACTTTCGGCGCCAGCTTTTACGTTGTTGTAAAAGAAAGCCTGTGATTCCTCGGGCAGTCCCTGTGCTATCTGATAGTCCTCTCTAAAATACGACGAATCAACGACGTCAATTCAACATTGTCGTTTACGGCTTTCAGACCACGAAACGTGTACAAGTTGAATTTATTTAATACCATTGAATTCTAGATTAGTATAATTCATGTTTAATCGTAGAACAAATTGTTTCTGTTGAGTTTAATCGCAATAGAGATCCACGGCGAACCGTGCAGGATTCTAATGCTACTAAAACATCGTGAAACGAAGTGCAAACACCGTTGAAACCCGATGAAATTTAATTGCGAATGGATTTGAACACACCGTCGAAATGGGAACGTAGGTGTAAGACGCGAAATTACGTGCGCCTGCATTTGATCACGTCTATGCCGCATATTAACGCTAGAACTACCGCAGACGAATGCGCTTCTATTTATATCACGTTGATGAAGTGGATAGCTTGTTGAAAATATGCAAATCGATAAATTAACAAACTTCTTCACGTATTATATTGCAATAACAGTTACGAAGAATCGTAGAAAATACACTGCTTTGATATTTTAATAAGTTTTATAAGAGTTTACGAGCAAGTCATTTTGATGGATATTGTAGTTCTATGTAGTGTTAATGGCTTTAAGAGTGGTGTAAACAACTAAAAATGAACGAACTTTTAATAAGATCTAATGAAATCAAATTCTATCCATCCGATGCGTCCCATAAAATACTATATAATTTATTAAAACATGTTTTAATACAACTAATAAATCATGAGTTATTTTAGATAGTAGATTTACGCTATTTTCTACGACATAAAAACACGTGGCACGCGCACTCCACGTAAATTGAAGGACAGGTGTACCATTATCTTGGTAATCAAGCATGAGTCAACTTTCCGTTATAAATTTACTCGCTTTTCTATACGATTAAAAAAAACTAAACGTATATTTTTATATTTACACAATATTAATTTTTATAAGGAATGACAAGCTGCATCGTTTAGATAAACAAGGTCGTGCTGTATGGTACATTCTTCCAAAGCGAAGATTATACTAAGCATTTAATGTCAATAAATGATTACCTGTAACTCTCCGGTCGGGGTCTTGGGCTGTCAACGACATAATGTCCCATCTTGTAAGTCTTCCCGTTTTTCTGAACACTGATCATTCTCTCGTTCTGCCAGAAGGCGAACTCGTTCTCCAGGGAAGGTATAATCGACCGCAGGTAAGCGTAATCCCTCGTAAAATCCAAGTACCTGGAAACCTGGCGGCAAGTAAACAGAAGGGGAGTCAGCATTGTATATTTCAGATCCCGGTCAAGAATTCCAATACCCTTGAAATAAACACACAACGCGGCTACACTGCGATTCTAACAGAATATCCTTAGTGAAAACACATTAATGGGGCCCATTGCATTGGGAAGCGGACGATCGCGTATCGAACTCCTCCGGACAAATACGGGACGAAAGTTTCGATGCCCTTCCGCGGACCAACCAGCTCTCCTTCTGGATAACTGGAAACTCGTTCATTTCCATCTTAACGACACTCTCACCTACACACTTTTGTAAATAATAGCAGTGCTATCCAGCGTGTCTCAGCTAACTGGATCACCTCGAATAATGACTTAACTTTAGGAAAATTTTGAGGCAAGGAACTTAAATGGCATCAAGGAGTACATCTTATAAGGTACATGCTTTTTTGTGGGTGGAGGTATTTCAGAGATTTCAAGGTCACCTGGATTTTGTTTAATGAAACGATCTATTTTTTGTACCATTTTGTGCAGAACGAAATGTTTACAAAGAGTGGGCAAAAGCTCAACATCGGAACGCGTATAATGGCGTAGCATACGATACTCTTCGTAATATTACAGTTCGAATATTTCTTGAATCTTTTCTCGACTCAGATGAAAAAAAAAGTAACACATGTTATGTTATGATACTTACCGAATTCGTCTCGAAATCCTCTAACAGATAGGCGTACAACAATTATAGGTGTATTTGCAAAAAATTGAAGGTGACCTTGAAAAATCATGAAAAAAAAGAGTTGACAAAAAATTTGCTATAATCACGTTAAAGCTCTCTTGAATCCATGCTATACCTGATAAAAACATTTTCGATCGGACTGCTAATAACAGAGTAATCTCTACTGATCACGATTCGTGGTTCACCCTGTATACACAATTCGATATCAACACTAGTAAAAATTAATTTAGGGAGTACCAAAACAGTAATGTTTTAAACAGTATACGAGAGCGAAAAATGCTTGTTTCAATACAGAATACAGTTTACAAAATTATCTTCATTTTACCTCTAAATTTTTCTACCATCATAATTTCATCATATTTTGTTAGAAAATCTAAGAAACATATCTTCAATACGATAAATTGTATCCACAAATCTGTCATACTGAAGATCCAATCGGCGTTAAAAACATCGTGAATGTAAAGTACTGAACAGAAATTCAACAGAATTATCAATTTCATTTCTCGAAACAACTTCTAGACGTCAATTCCATCCGCTGTTTCGTTCGGCCACAGAAATGAATCGCTTCTGGGAGATTTCTTCAGGACACTTCCTTTATCTCGATCGACTCGCGAGACTCGGTGGAGGTAGGAGAATCGAGATACAGACGGGGAAACTTTTGAAATACGGTTTACGGTCGGAGGGCAGCCGAGCTGCGGAAGTATTCGAAATTATTCTTTGATTTGTCAAAGAAGCCGCAACCAGCATGTGTATTCACAGAAGTCCCCGGAGCATTTTTCAGATACTCAGAGATTTTTCGCGTGCTCGTGGAATAGTAGTTTTCTTCCAGCACGTGCATGGAGTTCGTATGTGCAACGATTTTCGTGGCTGTTCACCCCCCCCCGCCATTTCCCCTGGGTTTATGCAAACGGAAGATCGAAACTGTTATTCTAAATTCCGCAACTTGTACACCGTGGAACGTATCTCTTCATCGAGACCTGTAATCTTCATGAACCGTTTCTATTCGATTTTTCGAATTCTTGACATTCTACGAATTTTATATCTCACTGAAACCAATTATTAAGGAGGACAGAAGAAGGTTCCGTGAATCGTAAGACAACAAATAGGCATTGCTTAAATATTTTTTCAATGTATACAGGGTGTCTCAGCTAACTTGATCGCCTCGAGTAATAACTTAACGGTACATTTTATGAAAATTTTGAGTCGTGTAATTTAAATGGCGTCAAGGGGCATATCTTTCAGACATTTCAGACATTTCAAGGTCACCTTGATGTTTTTAACGGAATCTCCCTACCCTACTCACAAACGTATCCGTTCAAAATTGTCCAGTAACATTAATCCAACAAGAATGCAATATGTTTCTTACTTTGATCGTTAACATCAAAGAGAAAGAACGTTTCAGTCAAAAATTGATACGTTTCCTTCTCGCAGTATTTCCTTGTACAGAGCCCGTTAACAGCATTTTCCGAGCAGCCCCGGTAGGTACATCGATTTCTCTCTTAAATTACAGACATTTTCCGACTATTGAACACCGGAGTCGATCATCCGAAAATCTTCGAGCATCGCGGCTAAACCCAGAAGAAAGGGAAACGCGCAGGAACTTTGCCAAGGTGGGTCAGCCTCGTAGCGGAGCTCGGGAAAAGCTTGAAATTCTTGTTCCATCATTCGAATCGGGAACTTCGCTACGTGTACACGTATCGACAGGATACTCGTCGAAATTTCAGGGTACTTCACTCGGTATTCCGTATCGCGGTGCGAGGAAGTCCGATGAAATACATTCGGAACCGCGCCACCGAACTTCCGAGGACACGGCTAATAAATGGAATAGCAACTAACGCGATTATTTACGAATTCCAACTCCATTACGTCGCCGTGAATTTGTTCGATTACCTGACACGATTCCCTTTAGGAATTAACGTCGTGACACGAACTCCCGAAATGGGAAATTTTCATGCTACGAATAAAGGCAATTTGTAATGATGGCATTTTCGAATATTTGAATTAATCTGTAGATGAAGTTGTAGCCTAGTTGTAGTTTCCAGAGTGGTCATTTCTGTTTTCGTTGTTTAACCCCTTGGCCTATGATTTTCTTGACGTTTGCAGTCTCCCGAATTACATTGTTATCGATAGTTGCCGAAAAATAAAAGGAATTCTGTACTTATCGTAACTGTACTTTTACTGTAAAAGATAAATATTAATACCAGCAACGTGGTAATTCACGTCGACTCAAAGATAACCAAATAATATTGTTCTTTGTTGAATCGATGTTATAGGGCGAGGGGTTAACAGTAACAAATACATAAAAGTAACTAGAAAATATAAAAAGTCATAAAAAATGTGCCTGTTCTCTGAAGGTTAAATGTAACAAATTGAAACACGAAATTAAACCTTAAATGGTCAGGTGGGATCTGAGGAACCCCATGAATATTTTATTTTTATTCAATTGTTACTTAAAGAAATGCTTGTTTATTTCGATGTCTTTTTTACACGAGAATACAAAATAAGCAGTTGTCACATTACACATCTAGTTATAGTGTTAGAGTCCATTAAAATTTTTGTGTTATTGTATTTTCCATATTAAAAAGTGCCATAAATGCATAAACATCCGCAGTCTAGTAAGAAATAATAAAAGTTCCACCTGACCAGTTAAGGGTTAATATGTGTCTTACACTCTAACCTGTTAACTACAGTAAATGATCGATGAGGATTCGAAGGCTCCTCAGTACTGACAAGGACAGGTTCCCAGGTGTAACGCTGACTTTTTAATGAGGTTTAACACAGTGATGAAGCTTGTAATTCAGAAGCCAATGATATTTGTTTCAACCGCATACAGCCATCAGTTTATGTAATATTTAACGTTCAGTGCCGAATAGCCTTCGAACACTCATCGATAATTTACTGTAGATCACTTTTAACGCCAGAACGTCCATTATGAATTGGCACAAGTGAAAATTAATAAAAATCAACGTATGTAGTGTATTAGGTGTATCAATAAGTAATCCATTATATTTTGTGAAATTCAATACTTATTTTCGAGGAAATCAGAAGCTTATGCTGTTTCACTATTTGTCCTTATTCTTCAATGTCCACCGCCATTTTGAAAGAAGAAGATTGTACAAAGATGTTTTAAACTGTGTTATCAGTTATGGTGGATTATTTATTGATATACTTAATATGTATTTTGCTTAGGATCAAATGCGAATAAGATGTAGTGTGTACTATTATAACTATTATGATATAACAAAGTGTAACATTCTCCTTTGGTAACAGGTCCATTGTTTCGATCGAATCGAGAAGAATTATGTGCAGATTTCCGAAACAATATTCTTCATTTTTTACACTTCATATGTGTCGAAGCAAGTTTCTCTATGAAGTACTTTGCACGCCATAGGTATAAATAACTGAGAGAAACAATTCCCGAAATTTAATATCAGAAAAGTACGACGTACCATAAGATGTAACAGGGGTGGCTGGCTTCTCATGAGGTAATAAATTCTGCCACCGTTGGGTATGAATCCATATTTCTCCACTATGTACACGAAATTGTCTATCATTGCCTTGGCGGTTTGATACATGTCCGATAATAGTAGGCCTTCGATCACCCAGTAACTGTCCCAGTAGTAAAACTCTGTTGAACGAAAACGGATATTGAAACATGCGTTTGAATTTCTCTGAATCACATTTCGACAGGGTTTTTTTCTAAGATCAATGGAGATCAATAACAAATACGAATCAAAAATATAAAGGACACTGTTCGAGTATTATTAAATATGTTCGCTTATAATGGCCTATGCAAGTTATATTTAACAATTAATAAGAAATTGAGGTCTGTAACGAATATTTTCAATAAAGAATATAAGGATGTATATTAGTTCATCAAGTATTTTTCAAATATAATTACAGGTATAATAGGAATAATAACAATATTGATACAAAGAAGACTATAATAGTTTGTTCAGTATCTATATGTGTATAAAATCAATTTTAGAACCTTAAGCTATCATTAGTGCATGATTCATCCCTATCGCTTAACCTCGTCAATATTAATAATCTCCTCTAATTATCTCTTATTCAGTCAGTCTCATCGCAGTGATTATAATAAGCCGTGTGCTATAATTAGACACACTCTATTTTTCAAGATACTCATTTTTAACCCCAAATCACGACACTAAGGGAGTATCTCTATACTCAAGAACATTTCCAAACCTTTAAATCGACCACCGGGGATGATAAATCCATTCTTTACGTAGATCAAGCTATGTCTTTGTGGATTTTCAGCCACGTCGTCGCTCATCTTCCTCGCCAAGTTCTTCCAAACATCGTTAAGTTGCTTCACCCATGCGCGATAATTTGGATCTTGAACACGCTGCAGTATCGAGGGGTTCTCCGTCCAATCCGGCAGTGTCCAGTTCACAAGCTCGTTCGACGAGGCGAAGTTTTCATTAACGTACTTAGTTACCTGCGCTCGACTCGGTTTGCTGTTTGTTTCATTCATCAGATTGTAGAAACTGTTCGAAAACAAACAGAACCGATTTGTCTAATTAATCAACAATTACATGTTAAACAACGAAACGTTAGTGTGACATACGAAGATAGACATAAAAATTGTCAGATCGCAAATTGAAATCTTTTCACCAATCAATTAATTGCAAATACCATTTAACAAGTGTACCTAAAGCTGTGTCGACTCGTCGAATGCAATTTTAACGCGAAGAAACACAATTATATCGACGTGCGTTACAGCAGCAGGTTTTACGAAAAATATCACGTTTCGTTTTTCGCCGCGAAATTTCAGGCGAATTGAAAATTGAAGCACATTTCGATGATTGACTACGAAAAGAAGCACGTTTCGACGTTCGTTACGAAAACTGACACGTTTTAGCGATTTCTCACGAAAAATATCATGTGCCGTTTGTAGCGACTTAAATTATGTGGATTGCAATTTTCACATTTTTTGCCTTTTCGAGATTAGACAGAGTACTATTTATTAAATAATGTTTTTAAAGGTTGAATTTATCGATGCAAAATGCATTTTAACAATTAAATATCTCAAGCCGAAACGTGGTGGTTTTAACTGTAAAATCGTTAAAGTTGCAAATGTGTTAGTTTTCGGTGACAAACTCAAAATGTGCTACTCTTCGTGGCGAAATACAACCTGTAATATTGAGTGTGACCTGTAACTTTGAGAATACATTATTATACCATTAAACCGAATTCAAACATTTTTATTTTCACGGCAAATTCATAAATAGTATAGTTACAAGGACATATGTGCAGCCCGTGAGCAAAAAAGATGTTCCACGTCGGGGAATGTATCACTAATATATTTATAAATTTTTCGTGAAAATAAAAATTGACGTATTCAGTTTAATTGTACAATAAAGTATTCTGAAAGTTTCAAAGAGATTGGTTTAATAATTTCTCCACCAGAAATTCCCAAAAATTCATTAATTTTTAGCCCGTTTACACCAGGTTTCCTCCTTAAGAAACGAAATAAAAGGTGTCTGGCTACGTACGGCCTTTTTTACTGTGGCAGTCAACATGTTAAAGGGATGCACTGTATGTTTACATATTAAATTAATATTCGTGATCGATTTCAACGATCGACAAATGTCCCGTGCCAGAAAGACTTTACGTACCACATCCCCCCACCCCACCCTCACAATCCCCTCCCTCCACTCCCCGCGACGCTCGTAAACCACGCTCGAATTCCGACGTTTTACACGAAACGATGAACAGCATCGGTCGTGCATTAGGAATGGGGGACGTAGCGATGCTTACTTTATACTGGTGGTCATTACAACGGGTAATACATAAGCGGGGAAGCAAATTGGTTGCCGCGAAACAGCGCTATCATCCCGGAAACGGGGGTCACGGTGCACGCGTTACAACTTCATCAGTTGTCATGCCGGCTTAACTTCAATTAAACAGTAACCCTATGATATTTACGAGCCATGTCCGTCGGCGGATCCAATCACGCGGTTGCATTCTGTCGGCACGGTGTATAAAGATCGGTTAATACCAATGCACTGTTAATCGTTGAACAAAGCTGTTGCACGTTGCGAGCGTGCTCATGCTATCGCGTCCTCGTGTACTTCAAAACTATTGCAATTATGAGAAAACTATAAAGAAAGTTGTTATTAAATATGTTTGTTTTCCTTTCTTTAATATTATTTTAAAAGCTCATTTTGTAGGTTCTTATAATAGAATGACAGCAATTAATTATACTGAATCTATAAAGTAATGAGTGAAGATAATACAATAAATCCTCGATGAGTGTTCAAAAACGTCTCGAGACTGAACATGAAATATTTCATAAACTAATGGCCATATGCGGTTGAAATAAATATCATTGGCTTCTCAATTACAAGCTCTATCACTGTGTTAAATTTCATTAAAAAAGTCAACGTTAGATCTGGGGACCTGTGTATCTTAATTTTAAATTTTAATTTGACTCAAGGTCTTGCATTAGGAGCAGTTGTTTAACCCTTAAATGCATGTCGTTGCAAAACTGCAACATACCGTTCAAACCACCTCAAACTCATCGGTATATGCTCAATGCATATCGTAGAATTATCACGTTCACGGACATTATATTTTATCGAGTGGTAACACCTTTTTGTTTTCGCGAATATCAAATGTCACTTTTGCTTTGACAAAGTGAAGATTCTCGGAAATTTGTTGGATGTCATAATTGCAGTTTTGTTTTGCTGTGTAATAAACTGATTTCTTAAGGTAAGTACATACAATATGGTAACAGCCCTTCGCCTCACTAAAGCCAAGAATTGTTTCAGAAGTTTTCATAGATAAATTGTATACATTAATGTCGGGTGCATGCATGGTGTTGTATATCTGCAACGGGTAGTGTTTTTTAATAAAACGCCATTAAAAATGACAAAAAAAATTTTTCTTTATTTTTCCTTGCATTAGCATGTACATGTCTACCAAATATATTTTTTTCACGAAAAATAAATAAATCATGCATTTAAGAGTTAAAACCACTAATTTTATACTCCTTTATATTTTTACTATATTCATAATAAACAGTAGAGTATACTATGCAACTAATATTGTTCCTAATACGTAGAAATGTGAATGACGAATATCGTAACATAAATACTTAATATTTTTCCTTTTTGTATTGCCTGATATTCAATCAAACATAAATGGGGTCTCATATTCCGTGCCGTTACACTACACAGTGATTGTAAGCAGTTTAATTCCTTGTTCGCGTTAACGTAAACACATCAACACGTTCGCGGCGTGTGTGGATCCGCGATGCAACTTCTGATTGGCCTCGACGAACCTGGACGAAAGCGAACGTAACACAGTGTCGTAAAGGGGGAACTATAAACGTCCTGGCGGTCCGAGTGATTTAGGGCGACGAGAGGTTCTCCCGGTGAACGCGGGGGTCTGTTTAAAAACGAGCGCGGCAACCGTGATTTTGTTTCCACGTGATCGTAAACTTTAGCTGTTTGCAGCCGAGAATATGGCCTGGTTGTCCGGCGTTCCGTGAAAACGAAAAGATGGAAACTAGTATCAAACCGCTGGTTGATTTTGCTGTGGGGAAGCGTTGTCCGTAGCGACATGAAACTGAACGTTGGTGAGTGGTTCCCATAGACCTTGATACAGAAAAGTCTTCCTTATCCCGAACACCCATTATCCGAATACCCTAATATTCAAACGTTCTGTTATCCGAACAGAGTTTTTGGTTGAAAAGTGTCTGAAAGTGTTGAGAAGTTTCTGTAATTTAGCATCCAAGAGGATATGGGATTCATAAATGTGTAAAGAAACCGTCAATTTTCGTAAACTCTATTTAAGTAAATGAAATTTAGTATTAGATATGCGATCGTTCTATTATCCGATAATTCCTTTATCCGATTCCAAATACCGTCACGGATCCAATTCGTGATCAGATCTGAATTCTTGATCAGTTTAGTAGATAGATACCATAAAAAAAGTTTATTAAAATAAAGGTTGTATTACAAACAATTACAAAACAATTATTAACTATTTTGAAATTTATGCGTCAAATTCGATAGCTCAGAGTGAGATGCAGATATATGATTTAGAGCTCCCTTTGCAGTTCTAACATAGACTTATTCAAATAACAACAATTCTTTTGGATTTGATTAATTTTTCTGCTTATACGATAAAAAACGACGATAGTTACTCTTAAGTGATCAGGAACTGGGTCCGTAATGGTACGTCTCCTTATTAATTCGTGTACAGGAAGCTCTATTGTATGCGATACTTTGGTTTTCAGCGCATTGCTGTGGCTGCAGCCGATGCAAGGCTTCATGGTATAACGTTTACATTTTTTGGGAAATGAGTTCCTTGATATAATTCGTTCGTAAATTGTACGAGCGATTTTTTTGCACTTTACGTTGCTATGAAAGAGATCGTGGAGGCGATTTTTAAATTTATAGAGAACGGAGATAGGCTTCATGTGGATGTTTTGGAAGTTGATGGATTAAGACTTACTTGGCGAGGGTCTGCTCCGGATCCTGTAACTGATGAAGATCGACGAAGGTTTTGCTGTCAGGGAAGATTTCGGCAAGTTGTACCGTTTGCAGTAACGGGCCGGTACAGTAGATCGGGCTGAAAATCGAAACGTAATAGGGTTAGAATCCCCTTTAATTGATGGAAAGAAGTGATGATTAGTATCATGGAAAAAACGTTTTGTTTCTATGTATTAAAAAGTACAGTGTTCATTGGGCTGTTATTATTTATTTCTCAAACAATTATTATTTTTGATGCTTCATCGATTTAGTTACCATAAGAATTTCTTATTCATCCATTTGATTCTTTCCAGGTTGAAAGACTGTTTAACCGGTTGGCTGCTGAAGGCGTATATATTGAGGGTGTCCCATTGAAATCGATACACTCGAATATCTCCGAAACTGTTGTCGATATTAAAAAATATTTCAGACAAAAGTTAAATGATATCAGGAGGCACTTTTTCTGATGTGAGTAATTTTGTTCTACGTGGACGCGTAGAGGTCATATGAAGGTCAATTTTATTTTCTTTTAAACGGAATCGTACATTTTTTAATGCATTAATTCGGCATAGGTAACTTAATACTTTATGTAGGGAATAACCAGTAGCATCAAGTAGTGCATTAAAAAATGTACGATTCCATTTCCAAAAACAAAGTTGACTTTCATATGACCTCTATGTGTCCACATAGAACAAAGTTACTGACATCTGAAAGTATACCCCTGATACCATTTAACTTTTGTCTGGAATATTTGTTAATATAGTCAATAGTTTCGGAGATATTCGAGTGGGTCGATTTCAATGAGACACCTTGTATATGCACGCTTCAAGAAGGTTACGGGGTGCTGACGAAATGCGGTTGTATAAGCTCTCATAGGTTTATTTAATATACATATACGAAGGATGTATGTATAGGCCCAGTAAATTTTGCTCAGTACAAGTTCCCTGTTTTACTACACTGATATAGTATACAATTTAAATAGGGCTTTACTAACTGATATGTTAGAGTGAGCTGCAGTCCAAGGGCGACTATTAATGCAGATAATACAAAGTGCTTCAATTCATGAAAGTTGATATCGGTATAATCGATAACCTATAAATGACAGTAAATTAATTCCTAATTAATTTAAAGCTAATTAGATAGTATATTTCAAGAAGAATATTAACAAGAATACAGTTAAATTTAAAATTAAATACAGCGTCGTTATGTAACACCATATTCCGACGATTATCCAAATAAGATACTAAAGACTATATGTATGTATACATTGAGAATATTTGCGACAACTGTTTATAGAATTTCGAAACTAATCACAATAAACGAAGTGAAAACAAACCGATATATCTGCAAATAAAAAAGTGTCACAAGCGACATCTATTTCTCTAGAAATAATAATTATCTACCAAGTACAGTAGCTTCGAGAACACTATACAAAAAAGTATTCATGAACCTTGTCTTGTGAAGTGTCATTCAGGCGTTGCGAGTATCCGATGTTAAAGCTTAACCTTCGTTCGATCATTATTTCCAAGAATGTATCGTGGCAAAAGAGAGAATACCTACTTGAAGTTTCGCGATGAAAAGGTCAAAGAATAAGCTGAAATGTTTTCTGACGTACATAGCTTTTGCTCGAGCGACAAGTGTAAAAGACAGTAGTTTTCTATATCCGAACATCCATTATCCGAATACCCTAATATTCGAATGTTCTGTTATCCAAACAGAATGTCTTCTAGGAACACACTTACGATGTATACTTTCTTCTGTTCGATCGAATTTTACAGACTCACTTATACTAAAAAATGTCTGCAATTTAGCAGCCAGAATAATATGGGATAAATATTGAAACAACCAACTTCCTTGATCTCTATTTAAAGAAATATTGTTTCGTATCAGAAAAGTGATTGATCCCTTTCTAAGAACGCTTATGTGTCTCTATTAGTTCGGATACAGGAGGCTATAGTGTAGTTTTTCACAAAAATATCACGTAACAGAACTGGCCGTGTACCGACATGTAAGGAGGATCGCGAAATTCCTGGAAAATTTATGGTCTATGCGGGTTTGGCACGGTGCTCTGACAGGATCCAAGAAAACGGAGTCGCAACGGCGCCTACTGCTCTACATACTGGCCGAACGAAAGTGAATTGTGGCTGAGAGCTAATTCGGGTTCGATGCCAGTATCGATCGGTTAAAAAAGCAGTTGGCAACGCCCTCGGTTCACGGTTGAACGAATTCTTGATGTTCTTTTTTCTTTCATCTCGTGTCCCATTATACGATACGTTTAGGGGATATTCCCACGTCGGTGCGCTTCATTCGGGTTACTTTCAGGAGTTACACGTTTTTCTTCTAATTTCTTTATTGCCTATTATCCGTTCATACGAACAATCAGTAAGTTTGTAATAATGGTTTTATTAGCGTGTAGCGAAAATTTCAATTGGAAAAGTTTGTACTGTTTGAAGAATTAATCTTTAGTGGTTTTGTTGAAGTTCATTGGGATGAATCCTCTGAAGTCGCCTGGGAATTACGATGGATGACATTTCTTCTGCTAGTTAAAATTCAGGTGGGTTGTGATTCTATTTGTGTATCTGATCGTAAATTTAGTTATTTCAGTTTTAACTGACGGTTATAGTGCGTTACCTATGATTTGAAGAGTTATTGATTGGAATGCTTCCTGTTTAGCTGTGTGGCTCGTAACTACGGATGACCATAGTGGGATCCCATATGTACAAATTCGCTGTGATATGGTTTTCTAAATTAGAAGCTTATTTTCAAGGTGGAGTTTCGACGTTCTTTCAAGTAATTGATATATTTCTTTTCCGTTTAACTTGATGTGTTCTATTTTAGCTTGTATGTGTTGCTTCCATATTAATTTAAACATTTTGGTACACCAAATAATCATTTCGAGTAGTTTTAAATACATAAAATATTTCCAATTTAATGTACTACTTTTAGATCACTCTTAGATATTACAATAAAAACGTATGATAATTTTAAATAATTTGTAGTGAACAGACATTACAATTTAATGTGATACTTTCAAAAGAATTTTTGGGAGCCAGAATAAAAGAGTATGATAATTTTAAATACTCTGCAGAGGAGAGAAACTTCGATTTCATGTGCCAGATTTAGAATGAAGAAGATACATGTGCAAGAAATTTGAACATTTTTATAGACTAATTTTTTGGAACTATTGCATTTGTTTGTTACTATGTATCACTTGGTGTGTATCAAAGAAATTGATTTTCACATTTTCAAAATGAAACAGTAATACCAGAGTGAAAAGTAAAAAGAATGACGTTTCTTTTCTACTAAAAAACTTCTTTACGAAAAGATTAAATAATTAGATAAAGTAATGCACACTGAAACAAATTTGTAGTATCTACAATTCAATAATTATTTCCAACTCGGAAAATGGAATTTAAAAATTATTCAGAAAATTACAAAGAAAATTAATTATCGATCCAGTAGTGTCATTAATAACCTAATTTACTGTGATTTTGAAGGTGCTAACCATGCAATTATTGAAGTTCAAATGGATGCCTTACTGACGACGACGTTTAGAAGACTTATGAAAACAGTGCTGTCGCGTACTTGACCAATTTATTGACGTTCCATAATTACAGTAGCCAAGCAAACTTTCCCATTTCTTTTTTTTCTAAATACACTTCTTTTATCTATTGATCTTTCACCTTATCGGTGTCGCCTTATCGCGTTCCGTTTAAAGAGCGAAGCTTCAAGAGCGATATGTTCGCTGAATACACGTTAAAGAGGCGTGCAGCCGTTGACCGCTTTTATTGAACTTTTTCACCTTCGAGTCCAATGAGATCGAGCAAGAAAATCTGTCTTATTTAACCGTAAGTAAATAGCAATTTCATTGCGAACCGTCGATTGTTTGCCAAGCACAGATACTGTATACGTGACGATACGAACTCCGTGCAAACGTTTTCATTCCACGTTTCGATTGAAAAAAAAAAAACTGATCTCGAACATGTTAATACGACGAAAACGTTATTCTACAAATGGTGCACCGGTGACAGACGAAACGTACGTTTTATCGTTCGTAATAGTATCCATTTGTCGAGCACAGTGTCAGAGATCCCCAACTCTGCATGAAAAATATTTCGTTATTCCGCAAAATTTCAAATATCTCTGTCACGTTTGTTTCGCATTACATCGATGTACATACATATATTTTTTTAAAAATCGTAACACGTTCTTCTCGTATTTTCAACGGTAATTTATCTGTAAAATCTTGAAAAAAAAACTTTTGATTTCCCTTGGTGCGATCGTTTCTTATGAACGAAGAAAAAAGGAAAGAAAAGAATGAACCGAGCATTTCTCTCCTACCATGATCCGGCCATTTCATTTGTCTCCGTATTTTCTATGCATTTCCACGCCCTGTTGTTCGATGAAAAGAGGCGTGACGATACCATAACCACACGGTCGCATCCTGGATTTCATACTTGTCACGGTGAACCGAAAAAAAAAAATGACGAGCTCGTCTGGATTGTCGACCTTCGTCACCCTCGTGTGGTTCCTCTTCCGTCAAGATATATTTTATCATCGACGTCTACGGGGATGATATCGGAAGTTCCTTTTGATTGATGGTGTCTTATTGTCCATGCTTCCAAAGTTGTAACAAATGACCTACTTTTCTGAGTTTTATTGGCATTTACTGTCGCGACGCAAGAGGACGTTGAGAACAATTTTTCAAGGGAACAACGCTCCTTTCTGTGTATTCTTTTGCCTCCGATACGTCGATACAGTCTGTGTATTAGGATCGTTCACGATTAGAACTTGAAACTTTTCTCGGTGTTTATTTTAAGGGGCTACATTTCTAAGATTAAAAAAGCAGAATTATTATTTATTAAGAATTCAACATATACATCTTATTATATGTTATTTCCTAAGTAATTTCGGAAAAATTGAGCTATACATCTATCAACAGAAGAAAATGGCTGCCAACTAAAAGTGTTTCACTTGAAATGCAGTTTTCAAAAACGGTACCAGAAATATTTAAAAGACCACTAAACCAATTTGGATTAAATTTTGTAGTAATATTCTTAAGACTAAAATCTAGTACATACTTGAAGCGAATTTTTGATT